ATATGTTAGGTGATTCCTGCAATGGTTTTCTTGTATGCTATGTATGCTTCCAAGAACTCATAACAGTGTATTTTATCTGAAATATCTACCAAGCATCCAAGGCCAAACGATCTCCTGAATTAAGGTAAATTAAGCTCAGACCCTCCTTTTTTATACAGCCTTAGTGGTATTTATACTAACATTATAGACTCCTAACATTTACCCAACCACTTCTAGGAATGTAATTTGAGCACATAAATTCCCTTTTTCTGATATATTAACTGATTTTAGCTCTTAGTTGACCTCCTCCTTTACCACTCCCCTTTTGGGTTGTAAAAGAAAGCCTGATGGTCACTGCCTGAGGAAAACTCTTGTCTGCCTTTATGACCCTGTAAGAATTCAAGCCTGGTGACCTTGCTTTGGCTAGAGCACTGCTATTGCATGGGTATATAACTGTAAACCTCAGAGACTAAGAGAAAAATTTTGACTGGGGAACTAGAGAATGAGATGGAAGATGAGGAAGGGCCAGATGGGGAAGAATGAGATGGGTAAGAACGAGAGAAGAAAGACCATGATGGGGCAGAACTAAGATGAGAGAATTAAGATAGAACTTAGAAGGGACAGCAGATAAATGTAGAGAGAAATCAGGCAAGAAGGGAGCTAGGCATGAGAACAGAACTAATGATGTGTAGACAGAATTTTATCCCAGAGGAATAAAGTAGACGGACTAAGAGCTCGGTGTGCTTAGATTCTTTTCCCAAAAATAATTCACGCCATTCATAGCTTCTCTTCCGGGCCCCTGGGAAGAAGATTATTAAGGCTGGACCATAATAATTTTTGAAAGATTACAATAAATTGAATAATATGGTAATTTTTAAAACATAATTTTACTCATTAAAATGTGAATTTTCAGTTACCAAAAATGCTTTCAAATTACCTTAACATATTATACATTCCTTTTATGCACCCTAACCTACTGAACTCTCCTTATCCTTACCATGCTATAATTAGAGGACATAATATTGTGTGTATTATTGTAGGAGCCCTAGTTATCTTAACTTTCCATTGTACATTATTATTTGTAGTTCTCATTACTCTAGTTTGAAGGGCCTGCTATGCAGCTGTAGGACTGTAACAGTATCTCATTTGTGTGGAATACATTATGTTTCAAGCCTGAATCACATGCTAAAAGTCATGTTGGCCACTTCCATATTGATTTAACCTGGTATTCAAAATCCTCTATGATTTGAATAAATTTGATCTCCCAAATCTTAATAATTGGACTTGCAATCCACTCTACCCTTAAGAAATATAACAAAAATAGCCCCAATTTTTCATTCTTACTGTTTTTCTAAGACTAACTTCTTCCATTTAACTTACAGCAAGCCAACATTATCTATCTAAGGACACTGTTCATGAGAAACGTCACATCTTGGTACTGTCTTTTTTTTTTTTCAGTAATTTAGCTAATTCAGTTTTATGTCTTATGAAACATCACTCATTTCTATCTTAATTATTACTTGATGAAGCAACTAATCTGAATGACTAAACACAGGAATGTATTTTCTATTGTATTACTTTATTGGATTTCTCCCCTACCTGCAGTAACAAATTCTACTGAAAACACTTCAGGAACTCTTAAGTTTCAAATAATAATACATCAATGAACATCACTAATTTGTGATCAAACTTGTTATAATCCACAGGCATAATAGCATTGATTGTTAAATTACTATATATGATTTTCATCTACAACTGCCTAAGTTGGCACATGTAAATGCTCCTATTGCAGACTCAGTAGTATTAATAGCCATCTTGCTGAAGTTAGGGGATTCTGGAATGATACAAATTATTATCTTATTAAATTGACAGAAACAACAGCTCATCATTTACTTTGTCTCTAGGAGGCTTAGTTATCACAGGGTATATTTATTTACAATGGACTTAAGACCACTGATTACATATTCACTAATTAGTCATAAAGCACTTTGGATTTTAGCAATTTTAGCTCAAACATCATGAAGCAGTCACATGGGGTTGACAGCCTTCATGATAGTATACAGCTTGACTTCACTATCACTCTGCCTACTCAATTTACTAAGGAATCCATTACTGAACCATAATCCTAGGGTGAGTATACAATCTGTCTTAACCTTAATAATATGATAAATTATAGTCAGCCTTATAAATCTAGCTTCCCAACTACTATTAATTTAACAGTTTAACTATTTTATCATAATTTTCCTGGTTGTCTTACGCTGTTTTTAGCAGGTTTTAACATACACATTGCAGTCCTCTATCATTTATAACCTGAATACATACCACATAAATATTAATCCCTCATTTCCACAAGAGACTATTTAATAAATATTTGTTATGTCATTGTTCTTATGACCTCTCAAATCTAAAGTCATCACAGAGATCTGTACTGTTTTAAAACCAAAATTTAGAGTGTGAATCTAATAATGCAAGTTCACAGCTTGTTATTTGCTGAGAAAGCGGGAAAAGAATGCTCGTCCATGCAACCATGCAAGAAAACAACCTTCTTGGCTTTGAAAGGACAATAGCTTTTCCCTGGGCTATAGGAGAATTCTTGGAGCAACTCAGAATAAAAGTAATTAATTTTATATTGCTCATTGTTCAGATCCAAGTAGCAGTTTTATATATTTTTATTTCAATTTCCTTTACGTGGCTATACAAAACATCAATTAGCTCAATCCTTAAGTTCAATTAAATATGTCTGTAATCCAAGTACAATTTCTATAGTCATATTTATTTATTCAGGCCGTAGATCCTCTGTTTCCAAACGACAGTGAATAACCACTACTCTATGAGGTTTGGGTTGGGTCTTGGGTGGGGTGTAATTATCTTTTCCTATTTCATTTATAGAATGCCTGGCCTTTACTCCATGGATGATAGTCACCCAAGTTGGCAGAGTGCTGGAATTCTCCAGAAGGCGGCTGAGGGCAGACTTCTCATTTCATACTAATTTCTCCACCAAAGTATTGCAGTCTCAAGTACCTGCCATAGGGGCAGGGGGCCCTGGCCAGCCATTCAGCTTGCCCGGTGTCCTGCACGTTGGGTATCTGGACAGGGAAGGAACTAGGCTGGCAGAAGTGAGGGAAGCCCTTGCCTCTCCCACTGGGGCTCTCAACTCTGCCCACACTGCCCAGCGGTTCCCTGGTGTCTGCAGAGTCCAGGAGTGCCACTGTCTTCATCACCAGTCACAGGCAGGCCACCTTCTTAAGGAGGGGCCTCCCTCATGGTAGTATTCATTTGCCTGCCCAGGAGCCCAGAAGTATAGAGGAACAGTGCTCTTGGAGAGTGGAGGAGAGTGGGCTCTCTCCTAGGGATGCAAGGACAACGGGACCAGGCGGGGCGGGGCAGTCCAGGCCTGATTACCCTCCCTTCCTCTTCACTGTGGCAGCACACTCCCTCACAAATAAATAATTAATCAAGAAGAGTAGAAAGGAAGATAATAAATGAAGGATAATTAGAAACACACATTTTCACGTCTTTCATTTTATGTATGCAACATGATATTGAATGTAGTATTTATTAGCTGAACAAAGGAGACTGTAGCCATTTATTATTTATGATAATTTGTTTCAGAACTGATTAAACTTCATTTGTATGTTTTGATAATACATCTTCTTTGTCTTCTCTAGTAGTGATCATTGTACAATTGCTTCCATGTCTGCAAAAATTCAAATAATATTTATAAGATTTCTGTTAAACAAGAAATATTATTATAGGAAAGGTACTCAAAAAAAAAAAGAAAGAAAGAAAAGGCGGGTGGTAGGGTGGGGGAGTTGTTACCAGAAATAAGTTATGCTTGAAAATGCCATAATGAGACCTAATACTTTGCATGCTAATTAAAAATATATAAAATTGGAAAAGAAAGATGTGACCTTTGAATAATCCTTGTAGGGACCTCCTGTTCTTGGGGAATAGTTTGAAAGTCATCACTTAAGTTGGATCAGATAAATGTAATTATGCTTAGAGGAGTAGATTATATGTGGAATGTTGCTGAGGTCACGTTGAGTAAAAACCACAATTAAAATTTGCCTATTTTTACACACCATTTCGGGGATGTGGCTTCATCATCTCAGTACAGAGATTAATCCACTTAACTCTTACTTTATTGCAAATGCATTACTTTATGATTCATAGCAAAAGAATTCCCTTAAAGAAAATATAATCTGACTTTTTTACTTTAATAGATTTTACTTTAGAGAAACATTCAGTTTTCTGCCTTCAGAAAATTAATAATTTAACATGCTCTGTGATCAATTTTCAAAACATTAAATACACAAAAGAAGAAACTATTATTGTCATAATGGCATATGAAACTATACTGCAGGAAAAATATTTAAAATATCATGCTATCTGGATTATGATCAAAAATTTCGACAACAAATTTACCAGTAATTTTGATACGTTCCCACTAGACTGATCACACTTACTCCCTTAGTTATGAAAAGTGAGGGAGTGATTTAAACCACACATTAAAAAGAAAGAAAAGGCAGTCTGTCAGTTCATGCTTTCCCTAATATCGAAACCTAGGGACTGATTCAGTAGCCTCAAAGTCCCAGTCACGGTTACGGCCGAGACATTCGGGTGCGTTCCTCTTTTAACTTTTGATCTTCTCTCTTGAGTGTGTAGCCTTTCTGCTCAATTAACAAATGCAGTCGCTCATTTTGGTCTGGCTTTCTGACTAATCCTGAAATTCTTTTCTATTACATTAAGAATCGGTCAGGACGTGAGCCACAAGTCCTGCACACTGCATTGGCACTGTCATCCTACACAGTCATCAAGTTTCATTTCCTGGTGCTGGTACCAAAACAATGAAAAAAAGTTTCCATCTGTTTGGGATTTGTTTATTTTTTTCCCTTCTAATAGATTTGGTTGCCAACTTTATTAGGAAATTTTGAACTTTTTTCTCTTCTATCATTTTTAAAGATACCTGCTGTGTGTGAGAGTTGAGGCCCTAGTTATGAGTCTATGATACTTTCTGATATTGAGAAGATCCTGAAAAATAGGGATCATTTTATTGGTTGAATGGGTGTTTTAATAGCAGCATATACATAGTAAAAAACTATTTTTTTGTATTTTCTACAAATGAATATTTTGCTTTTACCAATCACCCTAGACCAAAAATTGTTGTAGTAGTAGAGATTCATCTGGAAACGGGTCAAGCATTGTATTTTCTTACATGCGGTGCAAGTGACATGCTATGTGATGGTTGCAATCATCTTTGATACATGGATAAGGACGATTACTGAAACTTTAATCAAAGAAATTCTAATAAATGTTAAGTAACAATTAATAAATCCTTAAAATAACAATTCCAATGTTTGCAGCAGTAAATAATTGGGAAAAAATAAGTTGTAATCTTAAAAAAGCTTTCCATGTGTTTAGATGAAAAATTTTCTTCTTACAACTCCAAAGGATATGGAGATAGCATGGAATCGCACACAAGATTGTGGAGAGGAGAAATAGAATTCTTATCTTTAAGGAAGTCGCAATTGAAAGGCATTGTATAGCTGCAATCTTAGCTCCCAACCCCTCATGTGAGAGCAAGGTCCAAAAGCTTAATGAACTGCACTTTGAATCATCATATCAGTCTTAAGGAAATAACCTTAATGATAATAAAGAGTGTGCAGCAATAATCACAATGAATCAAAATTGAAATCAACATGAGACAATTGAAACATAAATTTAGGGTATATTCTTAACCTCCTTTGATTTTTTAGGTATAGACCCTTCATAAAAAATATATTCCTCTTAAATTCCTTCACATTTGAAGCATCCACCCAAGAGTGATGTTTACATGTCTCAAGATGCGGACAACGGAGGATGCCGGAGGAATGGAGGAATCTTAAGGCTAGTATGAACCAGAGCTTAACCAAGGTTACTTGGGAGTTCAGCCAATCCTTTTCAAAGTCTTCCTGTAAACACAGAAAAAAATTTCTAGTTTCTAAAATTGATTTCGATATAGCTTTTAAAGAAAGTTCAGTGTGTTTTAGTATTTACACCTATTGACCAAAATTAAGAAAAGGTTATTGCTAAAAGTGAAAGATCCGAGGATCTAAAAATGTAAAATTGGTTTTCTTCCATATTAACACAAAATTGTGAGATTAATTTATCACCAAATTTAAAATAAGAATTATAACAGACGTCTGAAGCCATAATCGAAAAGTATAGCGCAGCTGACCCTGCCCAGATAGCTGCCCAGACTCTCCACAAAGTGCAGTGGCCTGGAGCCTGGGACCAAGGGTTCTCCTTGAATGAAGCTTCCGCTGCTGCGTTTCCGACTGTTGCGGGGATGGCCTGCCGCAAACCCCGGAGCAGGGCTTGTTGCGTCCATGTTCAGTGCAGAACCGTAAAGCTTCATTTTCTCAAAGTTATTCCTCATGGCCTCATCTCGCCTGTCCTTAGACCTGTGAAGATCACAAGGGAAAACATGAGCATCCCATTTTCCCATGAAGGACTCCCTAAAAAACGGCAAAGGAGTAAACGAATTTCCCCACCCAACAATGTCTAAACACCGTAATGACTTAAAATTGAACTGGAAATAATTGTGTTTCTGGGTTCCAAACTAAAAATAAAATCAGACAATGCACGCGGCAGGAAAATGGCTGTCACTGATGTGTGACTTGGCAGGTTAAGGGATTGCCTCCTGGATGGGCTCTCATGTAAGATTTTTGATGGTGTTTTGATATCTGCCAAGAGTCTGTGTGAGATGGTGTCTGTGATAACTTCCTTGACTGTAACAGGAGCCAAAAGGAAGTAAAGCAGCTTCTGAGACCGTTCATCCCGTGTCATGATGGACAGGTCACCCATTCTGTCTCCACAAATCCCTCCCAACGAACAAGGAACTGTTCTTTTTTTTTTTTTTTAATTTTTTTTATTTTTATTTTGCAATACAATTCAGTTCTACATGTCAGCCACGGATTCCCTTGTTTTCCCCCCTCCGGCCCTCCTCACCTTCCCCCCAGCCCACCTCCCATTCCCACCTCCTCCAGGGCAAAGCCTCCCCCGCGGACTGAGATCAACCTGGTAGACTCAGTCCAGGTAGGTCCAGACCCCTCCTCCCAGGCCGAGCCAAGCGATCCTGCATAGGCCCCAGATTTCAAACAGACAACTCATGCAATGAGCACAAGACCCGGTCCCACCGCCTGGATGCCTCCCAAACAGATCAAGCCAATCAACTGTCTCACCCATTCGGAGGGCCTGATCCAGTGTGGACCCCTCAGCCATTGGTTCATAGTTCATGTGTTTCCATTCGTTTGGCTATTTGTCCCTGTGCTTTATCCAACCTTGGTCTCAACAATTCTCGCTCATATAAATCCTCCTCATTCTCGCTAATTGGACTCCCAGAGATCCACCCGGGGCCTAGCCATGTATCTCTGCATCCAGATCACTCAGTAGTTGGATGGGGTTTCTAGCACGACAATTAGGGGAACTGTTTTAACCAATTATAAATTCTGCTTTTCTTCACCTTTGTGTTAACCTTCTCCTCATGAGTTTATATAGCACAGAAAAACTTAGGAGGACCAGCTCTCCAAACCCTGCAGTGATAACACCAGGGAACAGAGCTGAAAGTCAGTTTACACAGTGATGGAATTGGCCCAGGTGTGTAGCACTAGCCCTACTTGACCCCCGAGCTTAAGTATCATACTCAAATAAGAGTTAAACTATTAATTTAAAAATTCATGGGTATTCAGATCTACAACTTTACAATAGTGTAATAATATAAAAGATACAGGTTAAGGATACTGTGGGGGAAAGTGCCATGCCACTCAAACTTGGAAAATAATAGAAACCACTTTGGGCAAATGTTTTTTAAAAATAGCTCATTTATAAACATTATATTCCATAATTATAATCTCTAGCTTGAATTCACATCATTAAAAACTCATGAATGTCTTTCACTGATAATTATTCTTCATATACAAATTATTGACATTTGCTTTCTTTTCCCCATGTATATTATACATATAAAATATATATTACATAAATATGTATTTATAAATAATTTATATATAATACATATAATCTGTAATCTTATCTATAAATATATAATTATATATAACATCTATAACATATGTATATAAATATGACATGTATACATGTATTTTAACTTACTTTAGTTGTTCACGAGATAATGACTTTGTCATTTTTACCATTTCTAGATAGGAATTCTCATATTGTTTTGGTTCAGCTTTATATGAGGTGTGATGAGTTAATTCTTCTGGATGTTTCAATTGCAGGTTTGTAAGTGTGGATTTCTGTGGTCTTATGCACAAAGCTTTATGGTTTCCTATTATGTCATCAAAAGTTTGTTGATTTTCTTCTCTTATCTGAAAGAGATTTAAAAAATATGTATTTAAAATTGTGATAACAATAAACGTATGTGTTTGGTTCCTGTAGTTTCAAGTCAATGATTCTGAATGTTCGAATATGTGAAAAAGATAGCCTTAAAGTATTTATCAACAATATTGTCTACATTTGATCTGAACTAAAAACATAACTAAAGCAGATGTAGTCTTATATGTGCATATTTGTGTCTGTGTGTGATGTTGAACTCTGAGTCATTGGTGGTAAGTCCTTTGTTACTGACCTACAAGCTGATCTCTGAATCACTCTTATGTTATTGCCATGAAGTTAGATATTTTTGAAAAAAATAACACAATGGTTTAAAAATCCACAAAGATACCTCCACAATAGATTACTGGCAATGGCGGAGAGACAGCCCGAACTGACCTACTCTGGTGATAGGATGGCCAAACACCCTAATTGTCGTGCTAGAAACCTCATTCAATGACTGAGGGAACCGGATGCAGAGATCCACAGCCAGGCCCCAGGTGGAGCTCCAGGAGGCCAATTGGCGAGAAAGAGGGGGGTTTGTATGAGCGAGAATTGTTGAGACCAAGGTTGGAAAAAGCACAGGGACAAATAGCCAAACAAAATGGAAACACATGAACTATGAACCAATAGCTGAGGAGCCCCCAACTGGATCAGGCCCTCTGGATAAGTGAGACAGTTGATTGGCTTGATCTGTTTGGGAGGCATCCAGGCAGTGGAACTGGGTCCTGTGCTCATTGCATGAGTTGGCTGTTTGGAACCTGGGGCTTATACAGGGACACTTGACTCAGCCTGGGAGGAGGGGACTGGACCTGCCTGGACTGAATCTACCAAGTTGAACTCAATCCTCAGGGGAGTCTTTGCCCTGGAGGAGATGGGAATGGGGGGTGGGCTGGGGGGAAGGTGGGAGTGGGGAGAACAAGGGAATCCGTGGCTGATATGTAAAATTAAATTAAATTATAAAATAAAATTTAAAAAAAATATGAAGAGAGAATAATTGAAATTAAAATGATTTCAGAGTATATTATTCTCTGGACCTAGAATATAAAATCATAAGTGTTTCAGAAAGGCTGACATGAAGGTCGTAAAGGTCAATGGAGAAAAATGATGCAAGAGCCATCGGAAAGGGAATCGTCTGTTATGCAGCAGCTCCAAGAGAACTGGCAGAGGAGTGATTGAGAAGAATCCCCTCTGGGAGGAACTGATAACAGCTGGGATCAAATGAACTGAAGCATTTCCTTAGAGAGCGAGCTCCTTCCATCCCAACCAAGTCGCCATACTGTGACCTGTCCTCTCTGTCTTCCCCACAGCCCTCACAGTGAACAGGAAGTGGTCTTAAATTTGTAAATTAAAGTTGGCTTCATCCATAATAATGATTACTTGATAGGAGTTGTGTGAAAATGAGACTAATTCTCAGTTGTTGGATTATATAACTTTTTAGGACATAATATAATAATTTGAGAACCTGTCACTCTTTAATATTCATTTCACAAATGATTGAATATAGGAAAATCTTAAACGTGCTTCTAATGAACAGACTGTGATAAATTCATGCCTGTGACCTCCTATGACAGTTTAGAAAGTGCTTTGTATCAATCTCATCACCATGTTGTGAGGACATTAGTCTACAAGGAAAACCCAGATATTCCCATGTGAGTGTTCCACCACCCTACTGAAAATGAAGTGCCTACCAGCACCGAGTACCAATATCCAAAGCAAGCCGACACATCAGGGAATAACACTCCATAGGACTCCAGCCCCCTACCCTTTCAGTCTGTCCCAACTGAATGTCACAGGAGAAGAGATGACCTGACCTTATCAAGATTTTCCAAATCTGTAGATTTTGGAACATAATAATGTTGTTTAACTCACTAAATTTTGGATAATTGAGAAATAAATTGTCAGATGATAAATCTGAAACGAGCCAGTGTAGAACTTCAGAGAATTTAGTCTCCTTTAGAGAAGGCCATACTATTGAGCAAGAATATTATGCCATGTCCTTTCAATTCAAATTCTTACGACTCTGTTAATGTGTTTAATTTTTTTTAAAGAAAATTAGGAAGTACAGAGTAATGGGAAGCAGGGATAAGTACAGTTTCAGATGTAGCTGACAAATGGTGGTACCTGCAGTCAGTTATCCACCACTTCCAAACTCACACTCTTTCAAGCCTTTGGAGGAAGGAGTGCAGTGTCTATGTTCCATTTAGGGCTGAGGTTTTTTTTAAACTATTATAGAAGAGTATTATCAGTGCAGAATGTGACTAGAAAGTATAATCACTGAATTTTATTTGGCACTGGCAAAATAACAGACATTGGAATTCTACACGACTGAATTTCATTGTCTATATCATCATTATTGCTCAGCTGAATCATCCCCTGTGGTAGCATCCTTGTGGTATGGAGGCAGTCATACAATGCCTGTTGCTTGGTTTTTAGACATCACCTGTGCTTTGAGACAAGAGAGAATCAATTGCTTCTTCTTTGAATGGAAAACTGACAACTTTTTCATTGATATCAAGCTGGTAGCATTTTTAAAACTTTTCACTTACTGTTAAAGCATTGAGAGGTTTATTTACCAAACTGACTTTTTTGGGTCCCCTAACTCCTGGAAAAGTACCTCATGTCTTGGTAAATCAACTGGAGTATCCTTTTCAAATTGCCTGGTGTTCAAAACATCAGAGAAACTCTGCTCTCCATTTTCACGCTCAGCTGAGGTTTTTGTCCATTTGAAACATTTTTTGCTTCTACAAGAATGTAAAGACTGAGTTAGTGATAGCTTCTAAGAAGTAAACATTTGCAAAGTATGTACATTATGAGTCTCATTTGTTTCAAACTAACTTTATTGGAAAGCATTTACAAATTACAACCTCAAGTAAATAATATGAAGGAAATTATTAAGACACACAAAGCATATAAACAGCTCACATTGAGCCCGAATGATGAATGAGAAAATAAAGGACTCTGTGTGTAAGTCTCATAACCTAAATTCAGTCCCCAGAATCCACAAAAGGGAGAAGATGAGAACTGACATCATGATATGGTTCTTCGACCTTCACACATACATATGGATAAAAATTGAATATATATGTATAAAACATACACATACTCTCTCTTTCTCTCTGTGTGTAATGTCAGACTTCCTTATTTATGGGTTTATAACCAAGAAATCCAAGAGGTCTCAAAGGAACTACTGGAAAATACTGAATATGTACTGAGACAGATCTTATTTCCACTCTGTAGTCACTGAATTTAGTACAATGATTTCTGCTTCAACTTGAATTATATATGGTATTAAAACAGGTTGCACTCTACAAAGGGACAGCAAAACCTCATTGCTGAAGAAAATACCCACACAACTCACTGAACATGGAGAGTTCGACCTGGTACCTATATAAAACTTCACCCCTACATTCTAGTGCCTTTTGAATGGGAAGGTACTTTCCTGGCTACTAAAGAAAAACTTAAACACCAACCCAGTCACAAAATCTTTGATCTGCAATGCTGTCCTGCCTGCAAAATATGCTAGGGCAATGGTGGCCCAAAGCCTATGGGAGTAACCAACCAATATCTTGACTGATGGACTACTCTACGAGATGGAATGCATATCTGACACTACTTGGGTGACCAAGACCCAGAGACTAGATAGCCCAGAGAACTAGGGTAAAACCAAATACTACTGGCCTTATATAGAAAGTGATAAAATGATGCCTAATGATAGTCTGCTATACTCTTAGATAGTGCCTTATTCAGCCATCATCAGAGGAGTTTACTCCTGCAACAGATGGGAACAAATGCAGAGACCCACAGTCAGACATCACACACAGAGAGGGACCTTGGAACACACAGTTCTAAATGGGATGTCTCCATCAGATTCCTCTTCTCAGAGCTTAGGGAACCCTGTGGAGGAGGAGGTAGAAAAAGTGTAAGGGCCAGAGGTGATGGAGGACACCAGGTGAACAAGTCCCTCTAAATCAACTGAGCAAAGTTCATATGAACTCGCAGAGATTGAAGCAGCATGCACAGGGCCTACATGGGTCTGCAGCAGGTCCTCTAAGTATATATTATAGTCTTCAGTTTATTATTTTTATGGAACTCCTGAGTGTGTGAATGAGTGGGTCTCTGATTCTTGTGCCTGCTCTTGGGCTCTTTTCGATCTGTTGGTTTGCTTTACCCAACTTTGATGTAATGATTTTTATTTTATCTTACTCTATTTTAATTTGTTATGTTTGCTTGTTATCTCTTAGAAGCCTGTTCTTTTCTAATGAGAGACAGAAAGGGAGTGGATCCAGATGGCAAGAGAGGTGGGGAGGAACTGGGAGGGGTAGAGGGAGGGGAAACTGTAATCAGAATATATTGTATAAGAAAAGAATCTGTGGTTGATATATTGTGCATCCTGATAAACTTATCTGGGGGTTAGAGAACAGAACAGCCATAATATTAAACATAGAGGTTAGGCAGTGGTAGCACACGCCTTTAATCCTAGCATTCCAGAGGCAGGGATCAGATCCGTCTGGATCTCTGAGTTCAAAGTCACACTGGAAACAGCCAGGCATGATGACACATGCCTTTAATCCCAGGATGTGATGGCAGGGAGCAAAAAGGTATATAAGGCATGAGGACCAGGAACTAGAAGTTGGTTAAGCTTTTAGGCTTTTGAGCAGCAGTTCAGCTGAGATCCATTCAGATGAGGACACAGAGGCTTCCAGTTTGAGGAAATGAGATCAGCTGAGAAATTGGCAAGGTGAGGTTAGCTGTGGCTGGTTTTGTTTCTCTGATCTTTCAGCGTTCACCCTAATACCTGGCTCCGGGTGTGTTTTATTAATAAGATATTTTAAGATTCATGCTACAAGAATCTATTTTCAATAAAAGGGAAAAAACAAAGAATACTTTCAAAAATGAAACTTTGTAAGAAAAAAATGACCTACAGATGACAGAATTATTGGTAGGCATGACTATGTTATGTATAAATAGCATGTCATTTTGTATAAGTGACTTGAATACACATAGTGTTGTGATTTGGAAGGTGATATAATATGCCTGCAGACTCATGAGAGTGAAGGCTTGGTCTGTATCTAGTGCTGCTGATTGGAGAGACTGTGGTTCCTGAGAACATGGGACCTGGCTTGACCTGTAAACCCATGGGGGAAGTGCTAGAGGGTCATACCCTCATGCCACTTCTGGGTCTTTCTGGTTCCTGGTCTATGGGGATGTGAACAAAGTGGGCAAGCAAGCTAATGCTGCCATGGAAGGCACTACCCTCCACCATGCCTTCTTTGCCAAGATGGGCACTATTGATTCAGATTATGGTGGAGAATAAAAATCTTCCTCCTTTAAGTTGCTTTTATCAGGCATTTGATTAGAAACATGACAAAAAGCAATGTACATGGATTTGGGTTTCTGCCAGGTGTTCTCAATCAAACCCCTCCCAATGCCAAGGGATGGGTAAGATGGTATGTATGTGAAAACCATTCCATGCCTATCATCATTGTTTTCTTCTGGGCAAAGAATGTTCTCCTCTCTTTTTTCCCTAAGCCTATTTTCTAGTTTTCAAATGTTGTCAGAGTAAAGGAAACATCCATAGAGATGGGGCGGGGCATGATGTGACCCTTACAGTGCTGTCTGGTGTCTAATTGTAAATGGACTCAGGGGCACAGCAAAAACTCTAGGTCTGCTCATTTACTTACTTGCTGAGAAGAAATCTAAGTTTGGAAAAAGGTTGGACATTCTTGATTGCTTTTTATGTAGAGTGCCCACCAAATCCCAGAGCCTAATTACAGCTTGCAGAAAAGCAAACTGCTGGACAAGTGGAGAGTTATACCATTTCCTACAGTCTCAGGAAACAGCATGTTATTGTGGTGATGTGGATTCCTAATTCTGAGGACAAAGGGGCATCTATGTGTGTGAGCCTACCTGTGGTGACTGTGAATATGTCTGTGAGTGTGGTCTATGGAAAATCTTTTTGGCATACTCTGTACGATATAAGGGACAATTTTTGTTTATCAATTCTGAGGTAAATTTTAACTGCTGTAATTTAGGTAAGAAAATGCAAATATAAGATGAATTCCTACTTTGATTTTTGTACAAGTATAGCAAAAACAAAGAGTGAATGCTGAACAGATATGAAATACTAAAATCTTACAGAGTTTTCTCTTTAGCTAGTTCCATGCGTTTCTTCTCTGTGTGATCCAACTCAGGCTGTGGACACAGAACTAACTTGATGAGTTCTTTATTGAAATCTTCATTGTTATCTGCAGACTTTGAAAAGGTGCGAAGTTAGTTTTTAAAAATACAGAACTTTTTCTTTCTGGGACCTGTTGTTTCTCACAGGTTCACCAAGCTAGGCAGATTCACTAGATGTTGTAATAGCATGCTGACAGACATACAAGTGAAAGAAAGCAGAGGACTTTTTCTAAAGCAACTCAAATTGATTGGCATTTTCACCCTTTTATATGGCTGAAATTTATATAACAAAACACAACATTTTTTAACTTATGCCTATTAATAATTGTTTTTCTGGTTGTGGTTGCATTTGGTTTCTGGTTGTGCCTGCATCTGAGCATGCCCCAGAAACATTTCACTTTCAGGAAATGCCTGCTTCTGGTTATTTGTTTTAGGTACAACTGACTCTAAATGAAAACACCATTACTAACATCATAACATCCACACAGGGGTTTGCATTTTCTATCAACCAATACCCAAGAGAGGCTGAACAGGACCAGGGTTAGGGTTCTGCAGGTCAAAGTGTCTTTGACCAAGCCTGACGAACTTAGTTCTAAGCATTAGAGAACACATATTTGGAAGAGACAATGAACATACCCAAGTTGTCCTCTGGCCTCAACCTGCCCACTGTTCATCCCCCCCCAAAATACTAAATAAACAGGAATGAAATTTTAAAAGTATTTAAAAAAACTAAATAATTCAGTAGTTTACACACTGAAAAATCATATTACTCAGAGGATAAAAATGATAGTAATACTAACCACACCCAGGTTGGCTGTTATGTGGTGCTTTGAAGATTGTGGGCCTGATGTGGGAGTCACCATGTTCTCTTGGGTAAAGAGACTTCCCAAACTGCTCTGAAAACTTTCGACACAGCAACACTCCGAGGCAAGTATGGAGCTTAGCATGTTTAGTAATGACATGTTGTGCTGAATCAGCATGAGGAACTGGGCAGTGGCCTCCTTCAGCTGGGCTTCAGTCCTGTGAAGAATGGGAGGCCAGTAGTCTCTCATTTTTCCCCTAACCAACTGGTCAGACATAGAACTTGGCTGATCTGTCTCCCACACAGCACCACACATTGAAGGAGGAATTATTTGGAAGCACTGTGTGAAATGTTTCATGCCATGTTAATATTTTCCTATGCTGTGAGTGTGCCTTTATGAAGAGTATAAGTGTTCAAAAGAACTGTTTGTGTCTAGGTTTTCTCTAGTAGGAATGCTCAGGGTCAGAGTCAAGGTCAGCTGCCTAGTGGTAACAATATCCAGAAGGGGCAGTGGCAGCTGTCCTTGGCACTGAGAGTTTATGCTACAACATTCTAGAAAACACTCAAGTGTTCATTCAACGTTTATATCTCTGGGAATGTGGGCAAGCAAAGTTGTAGCAATATAAGTATATTAATTAAAAAGCATTAACAAATGTATTGAAAAAAATCTAAGAAACCAGGATAAATATAAGAATACTAAGAGAGAACACACCAGTATATAAAGGGGAAATGTCATCCTGATTAGCTTCCTACAACTCAGTTCATTTGTCCTTGTTGTTTTCCAGGACTGTATTTTCTAGTTAGTCTTTATATATATAATGTCATTTTGTTAAAATACACTTTCGTGACAGATGATTGGGGAGCTAAATTACTAATCTACATGATTCTTTGTCTTGACTCACTGTCTCAGTTTATGTGATTGATGAAGTTTGTTTTCCAGCACTATTACATCATCACATGTTTGAATCTTCATTTCAGAGATCTTGCTTTCCAGACTTTGGATTCTGAGTTCCAGCTGGTTCATTACTGAAGTAGTATAAATTTCTCTGAAATTAGTAAAAAATTCTTGACCTGCTTGTATCTGGAAAAAAATTAAAAGGGTTGAGAAGTTGTACATTTTAATAACTGTAATATAAATTGCAGTGCATTACATTTCTGTAGTTCTAGTCAATAATTTTCCTGAAAGTATAAATGTGTGAAAAAATGGTAGGCTGTAAAATTTTTCCTTGTTTATTGTATCTGACCAAAATTACAAAATATTGATTCATTTTTTTTTTGTGTGTGTGTGCACATCTGATTTCAGTTGCTTTACTCTGAAGGAGATTTGAATATTTGTTAATTAACATATAATTCCATATTTTCCTTCTCTTGGTAAGTAAATAAAAAAGGATGTTGAAATGATTTTGATGAAAGAAATGATGAAATGATGTCAAGATTAAACCACAAGTCTGAGGGACTTGCATAGAACTCTCCTTTCTTTGTCTGACACTTGATCATATGGGAAGAGCAGCATGCCAAACCACAGTGCTTTACATATCCCACAAGTTGCCTCAAAGACTTCCGAGTCTCAATAACCAATGGTGCTTCTGCAGCCACAAGAAAGTTCAATCAACAAAGGCCCTACCTTCCCTGAGAGGAGACTGTTAAACAGAACTGCAGGAACCAACAGCAATCATCACGTTGGGAACCAACTCATGGAGGCAATGACCCCACTGGATTGAAGGAGTTTTCACAGTGGAGTATTGTGGTGTCCATTTCCATAAACAAACGTATGAATGGCAGAATTCTGCTTTTATATGGATAGTTATGTATCTTTCATTAGACATTTACAAATTAGCATCCAAGAATTATATAGACCAATGCATGCCAAGGTTGGACTCTAAAGTCCTTGAAAAGCTAATGAACAAGGGTAAACTAAAAAATCTTTTCCAAACCTGCAACACTAAGGGAGTCTGTTCTATTACAGTCCCTTGTCCAAGCAGCTGTTTCTCCATTTCAACAGTTTTTAATTCCTTTTTTGAGATTCCAAAGGGAAAAACACATTTCTTGGGAAAGAACTATGAATAATGATTACTATCTTTAAGTCTCAAAAATTATTATAACTAGTTCTAAAAACTCACTGACAGGTTCAGATTCCAAGATAAATTCAGGAATGTATAAAGTGTTAAATTTCTTGAAAGATTGAAAGATTTGTAAAATATAACATTACTCAAACAGGTGTCTGCACACCAATTTCCAGCACTATTTTTGTCAGAATGGAAAAAATGTAAAAAGAAAAATCTGAGTGCTTATCATTAAAGGAACATAGTGAAATATTGCATATTTAAAAATTTGGTTTAAAACAATTGCAATCTTTTCTATTAACATATTACTATCAACATAGTTAACTATATCCATTTGGCCAACTAGTTTAAATTACGAGGACTTGCACTAGTGTTAACAACATGAACACACAAACACAACAAACAGCTTTATCCATCAGAATTCTACTGTTGTCTACAATATTCCTACACCCAACAAGTAGAGAATGACAATTTCCAATTCAGCAGAGTAGAAATTAATAAAAGGTGAACTTACCAGACTCTCAGTTCTTACCAAACCTTTATCTTTACTTAACAGTTTTCTCTCAAGTTGTTCTAATGTCTCTGCTTGCTTTTTGATGGTTTCATTTAACTTGAAAATTTCTTGTTCTACCCTAAAAGGTATATTTCCATCCATTACTCTGAGATGTATTAAAAAATTATCAAAAATGTAAGAAGCATTTGAATCTGGATCTGATTATATGTATTTCTGATGAAGTATTTGAAAGGCAGGTGATCTGGTAAATGCATCTTATTTCTGTCTGAGTTTCACAGTTAATGTGAAGAATGGAGATGTGGTGTGAGCAATTAGTCCTCAGTTCTTTTTGTTTTGTTTTGTTGGAGATTGAACCTCAGGATGTTAAACTTATGCATTTCACATCCTCTGACTCTGAGCCTCTTCCAAAACCCTAAATACATACTGCAAATAATGCATGGAAGAAGAGACCCTAAACACGTTATCGCACGGGTTGTATTTCCACTATTGCATGGCTTGTGTGTGTTAAAACATTTTCATGTGCTCCTTTAAATGGTACCTTTGCAGGTGTCCCTTTGTCACCCCGTCACTGTCCTCAGCCTCGGCCTTTTGATTCCGTGCTTCTTGCAGCTAACAGAAAGAGAAAAGACAGGACGTGTGACTGACTATTCAGGGACAAATCCGCTCATCAACCGTCCATATGCTGAATTTCTACAGGAGGACACTCCCTTTATGCTCTTCCTCAGAGTGGAGTGACCTGTTGCAACAGGAACCTCACGGCTCACAAAACCAGTCTCTCAAGTGAAAGCTTGTTGACCCTGGTCTTAGACTGAAACACATTATCCTAATTTGAAATCTTTTTTTTTTTTGAGATAGTGTCTCTCTATGTACTCCAAGCAGACAATAAACTCATGGTTCATCTGGTGTCCACTTCCCAACTTCTGCAGTCAAGCTATATAGTATCACAGTCGGCATTTGAAATAATTTTCAGAAATCCAAACTGACAAAGTTGACATCATGAGGAAAATCAGAAGATGTTATTATGGTAAGCATTTCTATTTTTATATTCAAAACACCTCTTCATTGACTATAATTTGAAAATTTCATGCATATGATTGGCAAAGCTAGACCAGTGAAATATATCAGTCTCCGACTGGGTAACTAATGCTCCATGGAAGCATGTAAGAGGCAGTGTCTGCACAGATGAAATGCCTGAGTGTACAGGTCTGTAATTACTGGCCATGTATTTAGAGGAAGTTAATTTGATATACCTCAATTTCTTTATCTATAAAATAAAAATAGTAATATCTAACTCAATGGACTCCAGTGAAGATTGAACTAGGAAACTGTAAAAAATTTAGAGGGCTGTGGACACATCAGAAACTGCCCGCCTTTGCTATTAGCTTTAGAATCATGGTTACATTAGATATTCTAACAGAATTTGGTATTTTCGGCAGAATGTGTGAGAAGGGAAGAGGTCTTACACATGGCTGCACTGTATCATGTTTCATACCATTGAGAGGGACAGGAATGAGAGCGTGCAACCTTGTGTAAATTCCAGAACTTCTTCAAATACCCAGCAGTTCCATTAGCCAAAATTCCTCTTTCACTCACAATAACGTACAGCTCACTATTTTTCAGTAGCACTCGGTAGTAGATTGCTCATGCTTCAGTGAATAGCCTCACTCCCTTGCACATGTGAGCAGTGGCAATTGGATTAAGTGTGATAATAATAATAATAATAATAATAATAATAATAATAATAAAGACATGGTGGATAGAGAGATGGTGCAGCAGTTAAGAGCACTTGCCTTTCTTTTAGAGGACCTGAATTTGCTTCCCAGAACCCAAGTCAGGTGGCTTACAACACTCTGTAGCTAAGCTCAAGGGATCTGACATCCTTTCTGATTTCTGAAGTCACCCACATGCAAATATGGACACACACACACACACACACACACACACACACACACACACACACACGTACACATAGACATACACAGAAATAGAATAAATCTTTATCTAAAATCATATGATATTTGGAGGAACATACGTTTAGGGAGAGTTGGAAAGGGGAGTGAGGATAGATATCAAAATACATTGCATACACATGAAATTAGCAAAGATTAGGGAAAACATAATAAAAACAAAACAAAGTTCTCACAGTTTTTTGGTGTAGGCAAACATGCTTGGTGACATTTTTTTTTTTCGAGAAAACCTTTAAAATCTAGATAAGACATATTTTAATAAAAATACTTAAAGTAACATTTATGTGGATTAAACCCAACTGACTTGCCCTTTCTTCACTTGGAAAACATATATTAATCATAACTTGAGGGCCAAGATTTCCAAGAAGTAATTTATAAATGAAAATCTCTGAATTTAGTTTTCAGGGGACATAACGTTAAACCAATACAGTACACTTTCATGGCACACGCCAATGTTCTGCTCAGAGTGGCCGATGTGCACAGCAGAGCCCATATGAGAGGGTCTGCCTTAAGGGTGCAGTAGACGCCCCAAATTCATGCAAACACAGACTTACAATGTTTGTACATTGCTGAAAAGTCCCAGCTCTCTATTTCCCTTATCGTGTTCTTATCCTTAAGCAAAACAGGATTCCCTGTATTAAACAGTAAAGATATAAGTCACATTATTGAAAAAAAATTTAGAAGTGTGAATTTTCACCAGTAAATTTACCTTATTCATATCATTTCTGAGATGCCTCAGTTCCATATCTTGTGCTCCAAGGCGCGTTTCAAGGTGTTGTTTTTCTTTTTTATATTGCTCTTCTTTTTCAGTTAATTGCTTCCTAATTTTTTCATAGAGATAATGAGGATTTCTTTGTTGTGCTTCTTGTTTTCCAGCCAATCTGTAAATTGAACAGGCTGGCATTAAAATTCATTTCAGTGAAAAGTAAGTTTATTATTGTATAGTATTTTATATTGTCAGATACTTTCCTTTACAATGTTATCTCTATTTTTAGAATTCAGTCTGTCCAAAGGACATATAGACTAGAAAGAGTATAATTAAGGACTATTCAGGGAATTGACCAGTCCCTGTCACTAGCAATTCTGTGTCTATAGAAAAGGATATTTTAAATTATTCAGTAAAGTGAAAAGTTGAAAATTACATATATTTCTTTTGCTGCTGCTAAAATATGGTCTTTCTTGAATACTAATAATGAGCTTTTAGAATTAATAGAAAAATGAAGCTTCTCATTGCTGCTTAAGAGAAAAACAGGATGGAAAAACAAACCCAATTGCTTCTTCAAACGCACTATGTGTTATACAAATTAAAATTATATATACATACACACACATATATATATAAACTACACATACACACACACACACACACACACACACACACACACACACACACACACACACACACACAGATTTAGCCAGAGAAGTAAGACAAGAGAAATAATTTAAAGGGTTGACAACAGGAAAGGAGAATATCAAAATACCCATTTGCAGAGGGCACAATCCTATATTCCAATATAATTCTAAAATTAAATACTAACCCTGAGATCATTCAACCAACAAATGGGCTAGTAAACTTAATAGATGTTTCTCAAAATGATAAAATGAAAGATGTCCATAAGGTAATGTAGCACTTAAAATGTTCCCTAAAAATCTGTAGTCTGCCCTAACTGTTCACACTTCTGTAATGTGAATACTCATACCCCACATCAATCGGTTCTGGTTGCTGTTCTTCATTTTTACACCTGAGCCGTGATTTCCTCTTTTCTGTTTCTTGTGGCTTCTTTAGCACTTCACTAGCTTGGTTTTTTATTTTATTACTTTTTTCTGTAAGTAACTCTGAGTGACTTTGGTTACGTCCTATTATCATTTTATATGAATGAACTGCATCCTGGATTTCCAACCGTCTTCCAGAATCTACATCAGGAAAAGAGTGGGTAGAAACGAAATGCATTTTCTGTACGCAAAAGTTTGTACATTTTCATATTCTGTCATTCAAGACAAGCAAAGACATACTGAATGACTACAGTCTGGAATACATTACACTAAGATTTTCAAATAAAGCTGACTAATCAACTGCTTTTATTTAGCTTAAATCTGATGGAGAAGACAGATAAAATGACCATTATGACCATCCATTCAGATGGATGCTACACCAAAGCAGAGTCCTGGGGTTCCACAGAGTATCTTTTTGCATTATACCCAGGAAGATTTCCCACAGGAAGAGACTGCTACACTAGGAATCAAAGTATGAGTAGTAAACATCTGTTTAGAAGGTGAAGAAGATCCTACCCAGTCTAGACAGTGGGCTTGGACTTTGTTGCAAATCCTTCTGGGTAAGGAGGAGAAATGGACTCTGATTAGAGTGCTGTTACACACAAAAATAAAATACTACAAAGATGGGGACTAGTGCTGTGACATTAAATGCCCACTGTAGTAAGGAATTCACAGCAGCTGCAAAAATTCGCACAAGATTGAGTGTGGCAACATTTGGTCATGGGTGAGGAAGGGACTTACGTGGCCCTACTGGTGGAAGGGAGGAATCATTTTTCTGTTGCCCCATGCTTTAGTAAGTAACCCCCACATCCATGTTCATTTAGGCAAACCTAATTAAACGTAGTAGGTCTTATAAAAAGGACATGAAAATAGATAGGAAACTTGTTGGGAGTAGAGGTTCAGAGGAAGGTGGGGAAGGATAAAGGAGTGTAAAGGAGGTGACATTATGCATTACAAAATATACATTATACACATGCATGAAATCATGAAGGAATAAACAAAAATACTGAAAAGTGAAAACAAGCAAAATACATCCAATAAGTTATGAGACAATGTGCTTCAGGCATGGAGAATGTTTATCTCTTTACTAATGTAAATAAGTCTCCTTACTAATGTCTAGGTTCCTGGGCATGAGAAGCTATGCAGGCCAATACGTAAGAATAAACTGGTGCTGATCAAACAGGGTAATTGCACTTAGAGAAATGAAACTTGATCTTCATCTCTGTACAACATTCAACTCCAAATGGATCAAAGATCTCAACATAAGATCTGATACCCTGAATCTGATACAGATGAAAGTAGGGGATATGCTTGAACTTACTGGCATAAAGGCCTTTTCTGAACAGAACTATGATAGCTCAGACATTAAAATCAAAATTAATAAATAGGACCTAAAAAGCTAAAAAGGTTCTATACAGCAAAGGGCACTATCACTTGAGCAAAGAAGGATCCCACTGGATGGGAAAAAATGTTTACCAGTTATATAATTGACAAATTGTTAGTATCTAGAACATATAAAGAACTAAAAAAATTTAAGAAAACCAACAACCCAAGTGAAAAATTGGGCATAGAGCTGGAGAGATGGGTCAATGGTTAAGACATTTGCTGCTCTTTCAAGGATCCCAGGTTCAAGTCCCAGCACCCATATAGCAACTGGCAACCATGTGTGACTCCAGTTCCAGGGAATCCAGTGTCATTTTCTGGCCTTTGTAGGCACGATGCATGAATGTGAGACACAGATACACACACAGGCAGAACACTGACACACATAAAATAAAATTGAACAAAAATTAGTTCTTAAAAGATGAAATATAAAAGGTTAATAAATATTTAAAAAATTTCCAACATCCTTATTCATCAGAGAAATACAAATTAAAACTACTTTGAGATTTCATCTTACTTCACTCAGAATGGCTAAAATAAAAAAATAAGTTATGACAAATGCTGGCATCAGTATGGGGGAGGGAACACTTATTTACTGCTTGGATGAATGCAAACTGATGGAGCCATTATGGAAATCAGCAAGAAAGTTCCTCAAATACTTAAAAGTAGATCTCCCACATGATCCAGTGATACCATTCTTGGCATATACTCATAGTATTCTAAATCCCACTACAGAGATATGGTATTATCAATGTTCATTGCTGTTTATTCACAATAGCCAGGAAATGGAAAGAACTAATCAACTAATTAATGAATAATCAAAATGTGGTAAATAGTGTATTGTTCAACTATTAAGAAAAACAAAATTATGCAATACATAAGTAATGGATGGAGTTGGAAACAATCACTCTGAGTAAGGTAACCCAGACTTACAAGTATATTTCTCCCATTTATAAATATTGGCTTTGAATCTTCAAATATATATATGTTTCATTTGGAATGCCCAGAGAAGTCAAGAGATTACGGAGGAGCCATGGTGGGTGGAGGATCCTTCAAGGTGAGCAGATAGAAAGCAGAGGTATCAAGGGTTAGAGGATTAATGGAAACTGGAAAGGTTAAATTAGGATGGGGAGTGAGAGGGCAGGGTAGAGGGTATAACATAGGGAGTAAATAAAAACACTAGACATTATTAAAATTTCATATGGAAATATCTGCCACTATAGAAGCTTAACATACACATGCATATGTGTACATATACGTACATACATACATACACATATACATATGCGTGTATGTATGTATGTGTATGGAGCGGGGGAGAGTGAGAGAAAGAGAGACTGTGTTAAAATGGAGTTACCTTTTAACAGAACAACAGTGCCCCTACTAGACACTGCCGGTTAACAAATAAGAAGCCCAGTGACAGGAATGGATTCACTCTTTTGGAACTATTGGCCAGCGAAGTCCCACAGTCCACAAAACATTACAAGTTATTGCCAATGCTATGATTGTCCTGAAGACTTTGGCAGTAAGACCCTATTGCTGAAGACCCCATGAAGTTGAGTCGTAGAGTTTAGGCACATTAAGCTGTTACTAGTCTGACAGACTAATCCCTACTGGCTAGCTTTCATAGTGCTGGAAGGTAATGTGCATGCTTCCAGAGGAGAAAATCACCAATCTTACCCAGCTGTGAACCCCGAGAGCTACAAGCAGCACCTGGCCTGGTAAGATATGCTCAGCTGTGCACTAGTGGCCTGAATATCATGGGAGTAACCAACCACTCTCTGATTGGCTTTAAGCCTTACTCCACAAAATGAAACCCACATCTGGTACCATTTCTGTGCCAAGAAGCCTAGACATAGTATTCCGTCTACTCCTAAGAACTTATCATTATACCCTTAGATTAATGCATTTCTTAACCCTCCCTGTTTTGGACAGAATTGCAATGAGGATGAGCAAAAAGAGGGGGCAGAATTATGTTGAAAATGTGTTGATTTAAAGTTGCATACATTCAGGCTGCAGACAAATCAGCTACAGACAAAATGTGGCAATTGTTTAAAAAAGATTAATTTTCTCACTGAAAAGATACAAGTTGAAGAAGAAACCAGAAGACGAAGAGAAGGCTCATACTCAGAATATTAGAATTTACTTTATAAAACAGATATATTTCTGGAAATGACTTATAAAGTAGTACAGTCTTTTCTTAAATCTTAATGAAAATTTTAACAGAATGAGAAAAAAAAAGTTAGAATTCAGAAGGAATACGAATAGCCAAAGTAATCCTGAGGAGCAGTGTTAATGCTGACTTATAGCTATGCTACAGAGCCATAGTAATTTTCACAACAGAACACACAATAGAAAGAATAGAAAATGTTCCAGAAATGGCCCCAACCTGATATAGACTCCTTACTTCTAATACAGTTTCCAAAATATAACTTAGTGAAAAGTCAACCTCTTCAAAAATATGCAGAGAAAATAGTAGGTTAACTTGCATTCTTATGTCTCACACTGCACCAAAAATCTAGACAACTAAAAGTCCTCTATGTACAAGCCTAAATTCTGACTTTAAGATTGCCTCAGCATTAATACTAAAGGCATTACATGTATGTGGGGGTCTTACCTTTATAGTTCATTTGAAGTTGGTCAACTATCATCAATATATTGTCATAATCAGGTAAATCATCATTCTCAGAGACTGATTCGGATAACTGGTGATCATCCATGGCATCCATGTGTTCTACAGTCTTCAAAATAAACCATATAATATCAGGAACATCCTCAAATGCTTATACTATATGGTAAATGTATCAATATATTAGCTATACATCTTTAGGATTAGAATTTTTTGTAGGAACGAAGGGAACAGATTTTTCAAAAGATTATCAATGGCTAGTCTTTGTCACTCACTGCTTCGATATAAATTTCAACAGATAACAACAAGTTCTAGATCTCTTCACTTTAGTCTTTATGATGTATTTCACACATATTTTATAATGTATCATTTCCTTTGTAAATTATTTTGAGTAAAATACTGTTTTAAATTTATTTTTACAGTACCTTGTTCTTTTCATCACATGTTTTCTTATTCAGCCTACAAAGAAGACAGAAGTTTCTGCTCAATATTTAAATATGAAAAGCACAGATAATATTGAGAACTATTATATTTATAGAAAACCCATGCATTTGTGATTTATCCTACTCAAAAATTCATAAATCATTTCAAATATGATAAGCTTCCACAAGGGAAGTTCAGTTAAAACAGAAAGTAACATTAAGGGGAAAAAAAAAGACATCGCTAAAACTATCCAGATAATGAAATTCTGAGCAAACTTTCTGACAGTGAACGCCACAAGAATATATGATATTACTGGTATTATTTTATGGAAAGAAATACATTGACTTTTGTTATTGTCACTTTCTATAAAAATAAAGCTTTATGGATGTTAACCCCTATTGAGGAATAATATGTAATTTCTCCAAGGAGTTCAGTCCTCCAACAGTGAAGATAGGAGTGAGCTTGTTCAGGACCTCCACTGTCCCTAAATCCAGTTTAATTCTCATAACAATTATGTGCAGCAAACACCAGCATTTTATCGATGAAAGGACTAGGAGAAGGAAGACCACGGCACTTCACTAAGTGCTCAAAGCTTGTCAGTGGCGGGCTATCTCAAACCCAGGAGGGCTGGCTGCACACGTTTCTTATTATTTGTGAACACTGTATCTGTCTTCAAACATTTCAGTTGAAACAATGGTAGGTAAATTTATACTATTGTTGCATTTCTGGTTATAATTGTAAGTAATTTTCCACCTTTCAAATATTTAAAAAATTTAAAAAGACTAGATATATAGGCAATTTTGGAAATTTACATTCAAGAAATGGTTTATGTTTCTAAAGACATTTCTGAACAAGTGTATTTGTCTGTTCAACTATTTATGCCTGCACTAAACAAATACTAATGGAATGTATGATGTACGCCAATAAAACTATTAACAAAAGGAAATAAGGATGTTATATTTTGAAACTTCATAATTTAAAAGCAACAACCCATGCTGTACAACTTTTGCATTAAACAATTATGAGTTCTTTTTCTTTTCTGCAGAAAGTAAATGGCTATTAGATTGACATATATGATATTTTGCAATAGCCCATGAAATGATAGAAACATAGCTATGATGATTCTGGCAAAGGAATAAATGAATTATTAGGATGTATTTACTGTGACTCATGCATTTGCATATTTTTATTACATAAAAAATTAAAACAGTGCATGGCAGTTTAGGTAATAATTTTAACATACAGTTAGATTATTGCATTTCTGAGCCAATTCAGAATGAATAGCTAATTGTCAAGATGACATCTGAGAAAGCATGTGAAAGTTATGCCTGAGCACAAGGAAGTCTAGAAGGACAGCATGGAAAAGAGGAGCCATACAAAAACAAACAAGAAAGCAAACAAATACCTAAGAAAATGATTCTACTCAGAGAACAAAATGGAAGCAGAACTTTATGGCACTGACGTGTTTCCAGGAACTTGGAATTGAAAGGAGAATACTCAGAAACAAGTGGAGGTTAACCCTACCCTAGGCTTGAAGGCTACACTAAAAGGCCAGAGTTCACTGCTCTTGGGAAATGACATTAAGAAAAGAAGATTAATAATTCGATCTGTGGTACAATTTTTGTTTTGCTTTGGATTATAGTAATACTGGACTTAGATGAAGTATCTAAAATCACAGAAAACATGTACCATGAAAGAAAGAGGCAGAGAAATGTTTTGGGAACACAGTTTCACTTTTATAATGACTGTTTTTATGCTTTTGAAGATGACCATATTATTCTTTGTTATCTCTTCACCTTCTCTTTCATAATGATCCCCGGCCTTGGGAGAATGGGGTACTAGATATATATAATCTCTCTCTATCTATATATCCATATCCATTTAGGGCTGGGCATTCTGTAGTCTCTTATTCTCTGAGTCTTAGGGGAAGGGGTATGATATAGATGTTCCAGGTAGGGCTGAGCACTCCATGATCTCATATTCTCTGCACACTGACAATTTGTGAATCTCTGTTTTAACCACATGTATGGCAAGAAGAGGCTTTCCTGATGATGACTGAGGGATAGATACACTAATCTACAGGCATGGTGATAGTTCATTAGTTAGTGTCAGTGTAATAGCTTATCCATTTAGCAGAATAATAATGATAGGTTCTCCTCGAGGGCCTCTAATGTGTCCATCTCTTAAGTCCCAGTAATGGTGCCAAGCATGGGTTCCATTTCATGCAGCAGACCTTAAATCCAAATGGAATGAGTTTGGTTATTCCCATGACATCAGTGCCACTATTGAACCAATGAGCTTACCTTGCTATGACAGTCATTGTTGTTGTAGCTCACATGGCTTGCAGCCTGATAAAATTAATGATTACTTTTTCATTTGGGTAGCGTGAATAGAGCCTTCCAGCACTATGAAAGCTAGCCAATAGGGATGAATCAGTATCGACTTGATTTCTCCATGTTTTATGACTTAAGTATGTAGTGTCTTCAGCAAGACATCTCTAATGGTGTAATAGAGCCACGTTTATATTGAGGTTTACGAACAGCTGTATAGTTGGATTTAAGGCCTGCTCAATAGGAGGCAATCCATGCCTGGTACTGTAAACTTAGTGAACTATTCCTGGTCAGAGAGGTTTTAGACCCTAGAGGAGAACCTACTACTGCCACTTTCCTAAACTAATATACTTTCTAATGTATTCTAAATATTTATAGCACAGAAAAGTGCAGCTGTCATCCCTCATCACAGAATCTTCTTTTTTGGTAGACAGAGCTTACTGCAGAGATCCATAACTGGCCAAATGCAGAAAGTTAAGAGATAATAGGGTGCTATTACAGATGGTTTTAATGTCAACTTGCCACAAACTAGACTCAACTGAGTAGGGAGCCTCACCTGAGGAGGTGTCCTGATTGCCTTGATTGATGTAGAAAGGCCCACCCTGATTGTGGGAGGCACTTTGGTAAGAAAAGCCTTCACTAAAATAGGTGACCACCCCCGACTGATGTATCTGCAGTGCAACCCTTACATCTAAGGTTTAGGGAAAACTGTAGAAGAGGAAGAGGGGGCAGGAAGATTGTAAGATAAAGAGGGTGTTTTCTACACGTCTTGAAAACTACATACATCATACATGATATCTCAATAAGGTTGCCCAAACCAGACCTGCATAATGACCACAGCAGTTGACATGCCAATGTGAATGGAGTGGATATTTCACAGGGCACTATGCCTAGCTGAGGGACTACAGCCAATCAATGGCTGATGAGAGAAGGAGAATCAATGCCTTCCAGGACAATTTCCTTGATAGGCTATCCAGTCCCAAATGGTCAACTATAAACACATGTACATGTGAACAATACTAAATGGACTCAGCAGTATATATATATATATATATATATATATATATATATATATATATATATATATATATATATATATATGTGTGTGTGTGTGTGTGTGTGTGTGTGTGTGTGTGTGTGTAACAATAATAGTCATGAAGAAGTCATGAATTTGAGGAGTTGGGAAACATCGGAGGAGTTGGAGTGGGGAGAAGGAGGGGTGGAAATAACGTAAATATAGTACTCATGTATGAAAATCTCAAAAAAAGTAAAAAGTATACATTAAAAAGGTGTATAATTCTAGAGCACTTTCAACTAAGCAATTATAAATATACAAAGTAATTATTTATATTAAAATATGAATTCTATAGTAAGAATAAAACTACATAAAATAGATCAAATTTACAAACTGTTAAATTTACAAACTGAGCTTATTTAAATATATATGAAAACACTGTGGAAATATAATGTGCTCCATAACAAAATGTTAACAAAGGAAAATATAATGTATATAGAGTTACAAGAAACACAAAATTCACTGTATTAGTAGTATCTTGTACTTAGCCAAAACGTCACTAAATTAGTCTCTGTGGGCTGCATTTAACCAGTTGTTTGCCTGAAGTTTTTTTTCTTTATTTCTGTCAATCATTCCTCGTGGTGCTGGATATTTGAACAAAGGGCAGCCTCATGTGACTCAAGCATTGTACCATTGAACTATATTCTGACACTTGAAAATACTGTGATTAAAAAAAATTGTCCACATTATTCAGTTGTTATTTCTAGCCGATTTTGAACTACAGCAACGAGCAATTTAATGCCAACAAACACTAAAATGTTTACTGTCTGGTTGTTTACAGAAAAAAATAACATCCCTCGGTGGTTTAGAACATTGTGTAAGTTTCTTCCCTTATTGCTATGATAAAGTACCTAACAAGTTAGTTAGGGGAAGAAGGATTTAGGGTTGATCAATCTAACCTTCACAGCAGCTCACTTTCTCCGCTCCAGCCCATCGGACAATGTTGCCTACAGTAATAGTGGGCTTCTGTTGATCTAATCTACATAACTGTTCCCAAACAGGCCCATAGGGGTTTGTCTCTTTGATACTACACATCCTGTCAAGTTGACAATATAGCTTTGACCACCCCATCCCTTGTCAACTTGACACGCAAACATTAAATTAGAATCTTTGTTCTTATGTACCCACAAAGGACCTCATTGTGGAAGTTAAGCTGTGGGTATAAAAGCTATTGTGAAAGAAACAGGGATGCCTGCTACAAATTTATCCATCAAAAAGTATTTGTCAACTTCCGTTAACAACACTGCAGCAGAAAACCATTTTCCTCACATCTTACAGCCCTGCTGTTATCTTTCTAACAAAACAGTCCTCAGGATAGTGTAGAACAATGGTATCTCACCATATTCTTTTGATGTTGGTGCAAGACTGAACATCCTTAGTAAAAGCATGAGATCTGTTAAGCACAAACACCAGGCCAAGTGAGAATTAGTTTCTTAGCATAAAAGCAGTGATACACTGTTAAATATTACCATACTTACCCAACATGTTTTTTTGTTGTAACAGGAAGTTGGTGGAAGTTACCAGACTTCCCACAATGCTTTTGTAGGGTGAATCCATTTCTAACACCATTATCAGAAATGGCAGCAGCAGCTACATCAGCACCACCACCACCCACAGCAGAAGCATGGGCAGCAGTGTTACCACGAGATGGTTTTTCCACTGTGTCCATCTTGGGGCTGCACCCTGTCTTCCTCTTCCGTTTAAGCTGCAACAGAAGTTTGCTACTAAGAATTCTGATGCTTTTTTTTTTTAAATAAAAATAACTTTGTTTCACCAACTTTGTCATTGAGCCCGGTTCTATTTCCATCGTTTTAATTAACAAGACCCGTTTCTGTATGTAGTTCAATATTGTCATTAAAGTGTTTTTCACCTCATGGTTTTCTTTTGAATCACTGTTTTCTATGTAAAGTGTTTACTGTCTGTAAACACATCTGTGCAAAAAGACGTGTGTATGTGTGACAGTTGTGTAGCTTAGTCTATATGTGGAATTCATAACAATGGGAGCAGTCACTGTCCCTAATGCGTTGACTGGCTCTTGGGAACCTATTCCTCATACTGGGTTGCCTTGCCTAGCCTTAATACAAGGGGGGTGCTTGGTCTTACTTCAATTTGATCTGCCATGCTTTGTTGATACTGTGGGAGGCCTGCCCCCTTCTGAACAGAAACAGAGGAGGAGTGGATTGGGGTTGGGGAGCGGAGGGAGGGAGAGAATGAGAGAGGAGGGAGAGGAAACTGTGATTGGGATGTTAAAAAAAAAAAGACGTTCGTGTCCTCTTTTGCTTTACTAGCAAGATTTCATTTCATGTTAAAGAGTCAGTTTAGAGAATGTGATATTGTGTGGCTCTGGTAACAAATAATTGTTTTAATCTAAATTAATAGCCCATTTAATATACTTCTTGGAAGACAAATAAAAAGCCTGAAGATGATCCAGTAATACAGTGTATGTGGATTTTCATGCTCATTCTCTTCTAGTGAATATGTCATCATTTTCCATTTTAATTGTCCTTGTTTGATGAATAGTTCCACAATCTTTTACATTTGAGGAGCAGCTAGATGTATAGACATTACCTCTGTCACAATCCTTACTTAGTTCCAGTTCCTGGGAAATTTTCTTTTTGAAGATGGAATTATAAACATCAGTTTGATTTGGCTCTTAAGTACATTGTCAGGGTAAGTTTTAAAAAAGCTAAATTTACAATTAATTTAAAATAAAATAAATTTAGCCTTATCATGGCTATGGAAAAAGAAAAACTAGGAAACTGAATGAAATTCATCTTTTAAGCTTTATATTGTATTTTTCATCTGCTCCCCAAACACTGACAAACACTCGGAAATAAAAGGGAAATTTACCTTAGCCTAAGTCCGAATTAAAACATGAACAGCAATCTTAACTCTTCACAATTTTTGAATGAACTTGATTGTGTGAAATTTACCAAAACAAGTTATGTGACTTTAACACCATACAGGGTTCTCTCGTAAAAAAAATCACTATACAATGTCTTATGTAGTGAGCATTTATAGTGAATTTAAACCACTTATCCAAAGTTATGTAAATGGAGAATAGGCAAATTTTAAAATATTTAGGAACCAAAGTTAATTCAGTCTCAAAGAAAATCAAATTCTTACATTGTAATTCAAATTATATGCTATAATGGTCTTTTGTACCAATATGAGTATTCGTATGAGTTCAATATAATATATACTTGTATTTACTCCAGTTAGCAGATTACAACAGTTGGATAAAAATTCCCAAATTTCTACATTGAAATGAAATGCATTAGAATGCCATTCTTTACATCCAAATATCAACCGGTCTTTCTGGAAGGTGTCATTTATTTTTTATCCTCGGTAGCTGAGTTGATCCTAAGACTCAGTACTCTCTTATAGTACAAATATTGAAGTCAGCTGCTGACAAGAAGGAAAAACTACATTTTTGACATTGCAGATACTGAATGTTAATAGGAATCCGTACAATTTGACCTGATAGGAATGATTACTCAAACCATAAACACAACTAAGCACTATCGGTTACATTGTTCACAATGTCAATTAATAAGATGTGAATATGATGTTTCTTTACCATGGAAGGATGCATATACATAGGATGCAAAAATTAAAAAATTTTCCCTCACTTCAAAAGAAAAACTTCTTAAAAATTTTATGAGTATTGTAATTTTTATATATATTTCAGCGTTTTTCAAATTGAATATTAAATATTATCTCTATAGATTCTTCAGTGAAGTACAAAATATTATTCCATTTGGTCTATGCTACATTATTAAACAAAGCATATTAAATGAGAATCTTAAATTGAAAAATTACACACCAGTGGCTGACTGCTATTGCTGCTGTCATCCTGGTTCTGTTCTTCTCCGGATGTCACATGTAAGTTTGGTTCTGCTGAAAACCCAAACATTTAAAACAAAGTATAAAGAAAAGTTCAATAAAATGGCAGTATTTATAACAACACGGAATTGCAAGATGACTCAGTAGGTAAAGGTACTTGTTGACAATACTAGTGATCTGAGTTTGATACCCACGACCAATATAGAACTGACTCCTTCAAGTTGTAATCATGTGCCCCTGTCACCCACAAAAAACACATATAATAAATGAATGAACAAATAAATACACGTAAAAAATTTAAAATCAAAGTTTTATTTTCAAAAGAAATTGATTAAGCCTGATCTTTACTTGACTGCTATTCCCCTTTCTTGGGTACACACTTCTTAACAGATGCTGGAAATTACCAAACATCAATATTCCACTTGGACCGACACTACATTGTATTATCTTCAGAAGTATAGTGGTATCAGTAAACAAACCCTCAGAGACAACATTTTTCTTGGTTTTTTTTTGTTTTTTGTTTTTTTTTTTTTTTTGAGACAGGGTTTCTCTGTGTAGCCTTGGCTGTCCTGGAACTCACTCTGTAGACCAGGCTGTCCTCGAACTCACAGAGATCCACCTGCCTCTGTCTGCTGGGATTAATGGCATACACTACCAATGCTTGGATGAAGACAACATTTTTAAATACCACAGAAACATTCAAACTCACCCCATATGCCATTTTCTATCTCGGCACTGATAGTTAAACAACCTGCATTTTATTTACCAAAACTGTCTTCCTTTCCGTCCTTCATTTATGACTATGGTGGTCCTTCCATCTGAAAATATTATTTCTGGCAAACTCCTTTCCTTCCCTAAGACTCATACATGGTGGGAAGTTGTCACTGATTGTGGCAATTGTATTCTATTAGAACAAGCATCTCTTTTGAGTTCTTTACAACTTTATCAATTTTTTATTGTCCCTATGGTACTTGAAATTTAAGCTAGTGTTGCATGCCTACTTCTTTCGTTCCTGAACTGGGAGGGGTCAAGTTTTTAGTACTATTTTCACACACAGGATCATGAATTTCTGCTTCCTTTCCCTAGTACTCCTCGTAATTGGTGCATTTCTTGCTAATTTTCCTGTTTTCACTGCTCTTCATTATAGCTCAACATTTCTCAGATGCCTGAATATTTTGAAATTGATTTAAAGTGGCATTCCCATTTGCAGCCTATGCTAAGTTTTATATCAAACTTATTACCATTTGAGTTCTATTTGAACTCACTGTATGTGTAATAAATAATTTTCGTTGGCTCATGGCATATACCAGTTGCTCCAAGTCTGAGTAATTACTCCTCCAAATTGCTTTGAACTAAATAGAGTTCTGACCTGTCGTATGTCCACTTGCCATGTTTTCTCCTCTCTGATCTGCGATCTTCCGTGAATGGACAACATCCTTCTTTTGTGCAAGAGACTCAGAGAGGATCTGTTGAAATCAGAGTCAGGAAAGGTCTTAACAAAGATCTCTCATGTGTTACTGGAAAAGACAGCTTAGTTTCCTGTTTCAAAGCAATAACTCTGGAAAATAAGGGTTGGTTGTACTGAAACTTGGAATATTGAGTAGAGAGCCTCAAAAGTTGTCTAAATAAAGTTTGATGTTTACTTTCATATAGCTATAGAGTACTACATAAACCAACCATGTAAGGCTGAAAGGAACATACTCATAGACATCGTATGTCAACAACAGTTTTGAATATAAAATTATACATTGCTTTCCTCAGTGAAATATAATATATATGTTAAAATCTTTTAAATTTTAAATTTTGTTAGTTTCATACATTAATGAATAAGTGTATTTTTTGCCTCTCATTCCCTTTCTCCCTCTCTCCCTTTTCTACTGTACCCCTTATTCCCAACACACTTCCATGCTTTTTTCCTTTCTTCTATTGCATGACTTTAGAGTTTCTTGCCTGAGTGTATTGCTAGGAGGCATGTGACTTCTTCGGGGGACAAGGCCTGAGAATAGCATGAAAAAATTCTCTCTGTGTCAAGACCCTGGAGAATCTGACCCATTTTTGGCAAGACCCATGGGTAGTTTGCTGCATAATTCTGGGCATGACCCCAGGAGCATATGTGCTACCTGCTCTCCTTGATTTCTTTATACAAATCATATTGCTGGCTGCCTCTAGTGTCACTTTCTCAGAGCTATGGATGAAATGGCTATTGCATAAGGAAATGACTCTCCTCTTGGTGAGCAATAGGGGATGTTGTTAAAAATATACAGAGGACCTGATTCAGTTACAAAAGCCTTTGATATTTCAAGTGTGATCATGAGTTTCAGGATTCTCAAGAATAAGATGTTGCTTTTCCAACACACCTTGTGACTAGCCTGAAAGAGTCACAGTAGTTCATGACATTATAAATCTTCATAACTGTTCGGGAGAGAATGATTCTAGCCACAAGAGTCTAGGAGAAATGCAAATAAACAGATGATATCAAGAGTTAATGGGAACAGTCTAGGAACAGGGGATGAAGCAGAATCAGAGAAACCCACAATGCCCTCATTTCTAACAGTTGTGCCAATACTGTAGGAAGTTGAGAGAAAGGGGACATGAGAACAAGATAAGCAGTGCCAACTATTAAGAGTAAGCTTTTAAGCTATGTAGTCTGCAGGATGATAGGAGAAAACCTGGTATATCCTCCATAGGAGATAGAGTAGTAGAGAATGAAGAACAAACTGATTCAGCCTTAGCTGATGAGTCAATTGTGAAAACTTAGATTTGACTAGAGGTAAACATTAACTACTAGAGGTGAAACTCTCTTCCACTTTGCATGACGCTATAACCTCAAATGCTTCAGCTGGGCACACTGTTCTACCTGTAGGTGTGCCTAGTTAGAAAACCTGGTCTCTTGCAACACTGCTTATGTTCCTGACATTAGAGCTATGAATCAAGCAGGTAATGGTCACCAGTGGGAAAGCTGGGGGATGGGAGGGGAACGAGGTAAAAGAACAAACTGGAAATTAATGTAACTATTATTAGAAATATAAGGAAATAAGTTTGATTGTAAAGCTGATCATACAAACTATTGGAACTGTACAAATAAAAACGACCCAGGCTATCTGAGGCCACTTGTTTGAAACAGGTGGTTATAGTTTCTTGCTGCTCCAGCTTCACACATCCATCCCAGGTCATCAGACCCATTTGGAGTTAGACTTCCAGCAGTAACCAACCACTTTCTGATTGGATTGTGGCTCACTCCATAGGAGGGTATTCATGTTTGGTATATAAGCTTGGTCAAGAGTCCATAGCTAGAGAGGTAATTTGTCTTAGAGGGAAACCTACTACCACTGATTTGCTAAGTGGTCATAGTTTTAAACTGCCTTCTAAATATTCATGCTTACACCCATACAGTAGTGTTACACTGAGTTTTCACTGAAAAAAAAAAACTTCTTACTTCAGTGGACAATAGTTAATACAGAAACCAATGACAGACGAAAGTTTCAATGGTGGGGTAGTGAGTCCTAAATGGTATCTATATAATCCCTTTCAAGGTTCAGGGAACATTGCAGAAGAGGAGGCAGGAAGAATGTAAGAAGGAAAGCACTTAAAAGGAAAACATTTTAAAAAGTAACATATTAAATAAATTCTTACATGTAATGTAGTGTGATACAGACATAATCATTTAGAGGAATTTCAATGAGTGGAGTTGTTTTAAGGAAAAATAAGATATACATTATTAAAATATTATGCCAGATAAAGAAAAAAGAAAACACTGTATTAGATTTTTTTTGGTAGACTAAAAACAGGGATAAATTCTTGAGGCTCCTAGGAAGATGTGGGGATAAATGCAGAACCTGGGGAGATGCCTTGGTGGAAAAGACTTATTTCTGGGCAAACGTAAGCTCCTGATGTTGAAATACCAGTGACCTGTAAAAAATCTGGTATGGTCATGTAGGCCTGTAAACCCAGTGCTGGGTGCAGCAGAGACATGAGGACTGCTGGGGTTTGTTGACAACCAGTCTTTATCCACACTCAACAGGAGACGTTGTATCAAGGGGGTAGCCAACTTGACAACTCGGGACTCCTGAGGTCCTCCTATGCCATCCTATTTGTTCCCAGATGCTTGCAGTGGCACACACATATGAACACATACAGCAATGCACATACATTTCTCTTACATATACTCCCATACATAAAGTCCTAAATATAGATAAATATTAGAATAACAACATTTTAATAAAGTGATCAAATGTTAAAATATACATGTATTAGGTTATATTAAAATAATAGCAAGAAAAATATTAGATATAGTACAGATCTGTTAAGGAAGACCTTCAAAAAAGAATTCCAAACCATAACAAGAGTGGAAGCATATATATGTTTATTTTTTATCAAGTGTTGTAATGATCTGGGCTTTACTTTATCCTTTCTTACGTATTCTTTACAAGTGTAAAGGTGGCTGGCACATGATTTTTCCCATTCTTGTTTCAGGTCTCTCCAGAATCCAAAGAGCCAGATGAAATATTGTGACCCTCTGTTTCCCTCTGCTCAATGTGTCATCCTCCTAGATACTGGTATAGTTGATATGTTCTCATTCATTAATACACAGCTTACATCTTGTACGTTCATCTTCCCCAATCAGAGAATTTTATTCTCACTTCTAAATAAGAGGAACTACAAACTACATTGATAATTTTTTGTCCTAATATCCCGTGTTTTCTTCATATTAAGCATGTAATGTGACCTGCAAGTGTTTGCAGCTGACCAATTTCTTTAGCTTGTCACTGTGTCAAAGACTCTTACCTAGGATATTCAGTGTGTAATTTCTATTATAGAGTGGATATGCAGTAGAAGAAGTTTATTCAATATCAAAATATTTCATCATCTTCAGGAGTATGCCAAGCAGAGTTAGAATATGTCTATAGCATATATATAATGTTTCTTAAAAATGAGAAATCTGTATAACAAATACATCAACAGAAGTCCATGCCAAGGCCACTATAATGTCCATGAAATGCAATGTACAATACTTTTATATTTGCCAATTTACATCATTGAAATCAAGGTAAGTTAGAAAGCTATCTTTTATATGCTCACCCAAAAATGCCCCAATAAGTGAATTTCCCTGTGTGTTAATTAGCACCCCATATGAGTCTACTTTCTCCATCAATGGACACATGAAAGTCATATAGAGATCACAAAGAAAGGATTCAACTTTTAAGTTTGAAAATACTGACTGGCAATCTGGAAATAGAAATCTTTTTGACTGAGTGGGAATGATAATCTTTTAATGCTAATACAATTGTAAGGGCACCACCTATGTCTTCCTTGCAATTTCAGATGCTAGGGGCTGGGATGATATTTTTGTTGGGAAAGTGTCTGTAGAAGAAGCTTGAGGCCTTGAATCAGCACCCACATAAATAAGTCAAGCATGGCAGCATGTTTCTACTCTTGAATCCTGGGAGCATTCTAGCCAATTGATGAGATCATGTTCAGTTAGAGACCTTGTCTCAATAAAAACAGTGTACAGCAATAGAATAAGGACTCAGACATTGACCTCTAACCTCTGCATTCATGTGCATGTGCACCTGGCACACATTTGTATTCTCTCATTTCTTCCTCTCCCCCGCTCTTTCCACACCCACCCACCCATGACAAGAAAAGACATTAAAATTTACTTATTTACATCTTAACTATTGGTCATGTTATTGAATTTATGCAATCAGGTGCTCAGGTAATTTTCAGGGAGAAATTTGGCAAGAAATGGAAAGATGATGTTTAGCAACAAACTCATACAGACTCTTAAGAATATTAATGAGCCAAAATATTTTAATACTAAACATTAAAATATGATCAATTGTCCTACAAGATAATCTGATATGTGATTTTATTTGCATATGCTATCGTGTTAAAACTGCATTATCCTTCGATTTAAGTTATTACGTACCGAGGACTGAACACTTTCATGGCTATCACACTTTCTTCCATCTTCTGTTGATGTCTCTTCTTTGCACGGACCTGTTGACAAATGTAGATATTTAAGTAAAATGAATTATTACTAAATGGCAGATAATATGAATGTATTTTGTTGAAATAGAAATAATTAAAGCTAGTTATAAGCACCACCGTTTTATTTTTATAAAGTATAGGTTGAATTATACTTAATGTTTAGTTGAAGATTTAATTTTGTGCAAGATATTTTTATTTGCCATTAGTTTTCAAGAGTATTCAATTTAAATGACACCCCACTAGAATTGAAATAGTTAAAATCATATGAGTTATACGGAGATAATGTGGAATAACTTCATGAACAGGTAGAAAAACAATGAAATTTGGTTATGGTGTGATAGTACTTATTTCTATTTCTTTTCAAAATCCTTTAAAATTTTATTTTTATTTCATATATGTGAACTCTAAGATTTTATTTTTATTTATGTCTGCATGTGTGTGTCTGTCTGAGAGTATGCCATGTACGTATGGGTGCCTGTTGATGCCAGTCATGGGTGCAATGTCAATCCTACTATGTATTACTACAAGTAAACGTCATTGTCCACTGACATGTATTGGTTCTCATGATTTGCTTAAGATTACTTCAATGGGTATTTATAAAATATAGATCTTACCTTTCATTACCATGGTTGGCTTAGATTGTCTTCTTTCATCTGTAGTCACAGTTAAAGTAATCACATCCTGCTTCTGTGGAATATGCTCAGAGGCAATCTGTTAAAATTAATATAAAATAAGTCGTAAGAAATATCCTTACAAGTTTTAAGACTATTTGAGTTCTTCATTTCAACAACACTAGTCTTATTCTTAAGGGAAGCACTGGATCCCATTCCATTTAAAGAGAACCTCAAGAACATTATCAAAATAAAATCTTATGTTTGCCTTCATATGATCACTTATTAAAAACAACAAATAGGGGGCTGGACAGATGGCTCAGTGGTTAAGAGCACCAGCTGCTCGTCCAGAGGATCTGGGTTCAATTCCCAGCACCCACATAACAGCTCACTGCTGTCTGTAACTCCAGTTCTAGGGCATCTGACACCCTCATCCAGGCATCCATGCAGTCAAAACACCAATGCACATAAAACAACAACAACAAAAAAAACAACAACAACAACAACAAAAAGCCGGGCGGTGGTGGCGCATGCCTTTAATCCCAGCACTCGGGAGGCAGAGCCAGGTAGATCTTTGTGAGCTCGAGGCCAGCCTGGTCTACAGAGCGAGATCCAGGAAAGGCACAAAGCTACACAGAGAAACCCTGTCTCGAAAAACAAAAAACAAAAACAACAAATATAAAAAGTCAGAAGAAGCCAGGTGGTGGTGGCGCATGCCACCACCCAGTGCTCAGGAGGCAGAGCTAGGAGGATCTCTGTGAGTTTGAGGCCAGCCTGGTCTACAGAGCGAGACCCAGGACAGGCACCAAAACTACACAGAGAAACCCTGTCTCAAAAAACAAAACAAAACAAAAAAAAAAACCCTCAGAAGAAACATTTTTGTAGAACAGTGCCAACACATGTCAACTAATAAAGAAACATTGAAGATTATTTATTTTGATAATTTAAAAATCAAAACATTGCACACACAAAACACTAATAAATGGTCACAATTAAGTACTTAAATAAAAATATTTTTATCTCTGTATGATTTTGAGGATATTCTTAATATTTTATTTAAAACTAAATAGCATCTTCTTTCTGGTACCAAATATCTTTCTGGAAGTTACCTGAACGTCAGTATGTATAAAGTTCAGAGTATCATAAAGAATTCAAATCAAAATAGACTTTCCTGAGTATGTTTAACAAAACAAAATAGGATAAAATGAGAACCTTCAAGTAAATATTTAACATACCAATGACTGAGCTTTTTCACGGCCATCATGCTTTCTCTGTTCCTCTCTTGATGTTCCTTCTTTCCCCGGTTCTGCTGATAAATGGATGCATTTAAGTAAAAGTAACTGAAATACAGTGATGAGTTGACCATGTTCCAGTGGAAAAATCACACACTCAAGAATGACTGGGCAACATAAATTGGCCTTGATAGGTTTAAAAAGCACACAAAGTGGGTGAATGGGGAAGGGAATGGACAAGGGAAGAGTAGGGCAAAGAGGATGAATACGATCAAAACACTGCTTCTCAGCGAAAGAATAAAATAGGTCCCTAGAGACTAAAATGTTAAAGTTGCACGTGGTTATACATACATAGACAAAGTGTGTGGTGGAAGAAGGAAGAGTAGCAACATATGCACAGTTATCAGAGGATGAGTTCATTTATTACAGAAGTTAAAAGCGAGATTCTGCCTTGAAATTAAAGACTGCTTCCAGAAACATTCAGGACTGAAAACTGTCAATTTCACATTAGCATAAATTGAATTGTTACTAAATGAATAAATGTATAACATGTGGGACCCAGAAAGGCTAGTCTCCAACCATGACTCACAAAGCTCTATGAAATGAGTTGAGGAATAAAATAAGTAATGTGTTCAACTTCACCAAATGTGAAGCTTAGTCTCTTGTGTCACATCTTTCTGTGTGGTTGTAACATGATTACATAATTTATCTCAAATCTCCCCTTCTTGGGTGTAAGGAGCTCCAGATGAGGGGTGAGGAGGGCTGGGGATAAAAAGCACATTGGTAAAGCATGGGCATTGTGAGTGCATGTGCAGTGTTGAAACAAATAGACTAGATGATTGGCCATCATCTGAGCACATTGTATTGATTGCTTACATCTTCCCAACAGAATACTCACATCTAAGAATTATAGATTTAGAATATACAACCATTTAATAACATGCAGAATTGGCATGTAAAGTCTAAAAACATTATTTTTGCTCTTCATTTCATTGTAGCTTTTCTTCCCCCTTGTGGTAGTTTGAATGTAATTGCCCCCCACAAACTCCTAGGGAGTGGAACTATTAGGAAGTATGGCTTTGTTGGAGCAAGTGTGTCACTGTGGGGGTGGGCTCTGAGGTCTTATATATGCTCAAACCATGCCCAGTGTCCCAGACCACTTCCTGTTGCCCTCAGGTCTTAGCTCCCTCTCCCAGCATCATGTCTGCCTGTATGCTGCTATGATAGTGCTCCATGGTGATAATGCACTAAAGTTCTGAAAATGTAAGCCACTCCATTAAATGTTTTTCCTTTATAAGAGTTGCCAAGGTCATGGTATCTCTTCACAACAATAGGAACTCTAAGATATCCCTAGAAAAAAACCTGTATCTAAATCAATAGTTATTCCTTTGGTTCTGTTTTGCTTCAAGATATCCAATGGATTTTTTTTAATATAGATCTCTGATAACTACCCTTGATAGTATATGGTTGGTTGACAAGAACCCTCTTGACCACCAAAGGACAAATACAGAAACCAGGAGCTGGTAAATCATAATGAGAATTCTATCATGATCCTCTTCATATGCTAATCAAATTTGAGTCTCTATGGTCAATGCTATCCCAATTTAACTTTCTTTGAATCTAGTATTTCTCCTTAAACCTAATGTTCTTGATTTTATTTATTCGATTTCCCCTTTTCAAATCTAGTCTTCTTCATCATATTCAAAACATTAAGGGGCAGGAAAAATAATACATTTCTAAATGGATTTTTTATGTGTCCAGGGTTTACTTGACTACTTGCCCTGTGGCTTTCTCTTTCCCAGTTTCCTTATTTTGACCTATATGATACTCTCCTGAGAAATAATCCCTGTTAGACATTAATTACTGTTCATATACAATTGATCACTTGTGTTTCTACATATCACAAGAAAATCAAACACTGGTCAACAGGATGAGATATTACAATTCTTAATATCTTCCCTGAAGGAAAGAAGAAAAGACAATGGGAAATGTGCATTTACTTTCTTGACAACATTACCTATTGGAAGATCAGTTATCTTCTCTGAATCTTATAGTACCCTATCTTCATTTTCTAAAGAATTTCATTATTTTAATAGAATCAAATATACACTTATTCCCTGTTTTCTTTTTCTTTTTTGGTACTTGATGATTTTCTCATCCTTCATTCCCCTGTGTCCCCTACACTCTGTGAGGTTTTACTACTCTTCCAATACCATGACCTTGTAATTTATTGAGCAATTGGACTGCTTCAGTGGTACATTCCACTTCACATTTGCAGATATTATTCTTCTGGCCACTTAATCTACTCTATGACACATATACACAAATATCTTTATCCACTGGTATTGTTTTGATTTACGGAACTATTCCTTCAAAGGGCTACACATAAAATAAAGATTTTACCATTCATTTCTAGACTAGTGTAGTCTTCTCTTCTTTGATCCACAGTTTCAGCTAAGTGTCCCTGGTTCTCTTTTGTTGAAGGAGTTGCAGAGACAATCTGAAAAATTAATATTAAAAATGAGTCGAATATCCTTCTCTGTTCTAGGAAGATCAGAGTTCCACATTGCAGAGCAGTGAGAGGAAAATAAGAGGATCCACAAATAAGAGGAATCCACATTTTCAGGAGAAAGCTTTAGGCATGCGCTCTAATTGCATTCTTACTTTTTTCTTCATATGACCATTGACAGTGTAAGGCAACATGAAGGCTACCATGGGTATGAGTAGTTGTCAAAACTATGTCAAAAAGATACATTTAAGATTATTTATTACTAGTATAAAAATGAAAATATACATTGTTCACACACAGCACACAAATAATACCCCCATTATGCCAGAATTCATTTGTAGTTTGTCAAATTAAAATCACCACATCATATATGTTAAACTCTCATCTACAGCCAAAGGACTCACAATTTAATGCAGTGTTAACAGGCCATTTCATTAACCACGTAGAAAGACTCATAGAAGTCTACTATCACTGTCACAAAAATTGGTAAAAATGTATTTCTCACTTTGCATGCTGATAGTAAGACACCAACAATACCTTACTACTATCATAGAAATGCTAATTAAAATATATAGTGTGATATTAAATCACCAAATGAAAAATAATTGTTATCCATACAATTGATACATAAGAGTATTAACCAATTATAAAGGTAAAGATATTTTCAAAATTAAATAATTGTGACCAATTATTTTATAAGAAAATTGCACATATAATTTTATTGTCTTATGATTTCTAGTTAGACAATAAAACAGTTTTAGATGAACATCTTCCATTGAAATTTTCCATACCAAAGACGGAACTTTTTCATTCTTAGTGCTCCTCTTAGGCTCTTCAGTAGATGCCATTTCTTTGTTTGTAGCTGATGAGAAACAAAGATATTTAACCAATTTTAACTGTAATGCAATGAATCATACTGACAAAGTATTACATAGAGATACAGAGAAAGGTTTAGACACAGTTAAATTAAAAATATAAGATTTATTTTCCTAAAAAACACTTTCAAGTACTTTAAATCTTTAGTTGAAGCTTTAGCATTTCATGAGCTACTTGAGATCACATAAGACTTAAACATATCCCTCGGGACAGACAGGAGAATGCACCAGGTTCAGGGAATGGAAGAATTTCGTGTATTCACCTAAAAATTAATACACTTAACACAGAAGAAGAAACACTCAGGTACAAATTTTTAAAACACCACTGAAATAAATGTAATAAGTAACAAGTTATGTTTCTATTCATTCCAGTACTCTCTTCATGGTAGCTGATTCAGTT